CCCCCCCCCCCCCCAAAACTCTTAACCAAAATTTTTGGATTTCCAGGTTGTTTTTTCTGTGAGTAAACTGGAAATTTTCAATTTATTCAAAAAGTCATTAATGCAAGAACTATTAATCATACTTGGGAGGGGGAGCGTTTTGACACTTTCTGCTCTATTATGCTGTGTTAGGTTTTACAATCAGGATTTGATTGTTTACTTTTATTGTACAAGCATGATTCACAGCTGTATGTGTGTGATGGCATATGACAACCTTAGCACTCAAGAAACAGTTTTGACTGGTTGGATCAACTAAGATGTTCATATCTGCGTTTTTTTTTTTTCTTCTTTTCCCTTATAGACAACTGAGGATAGTGACAGGGGAATGGTTTTTTGAAGAGAGGGCCAAGCGCTACAAGCAGTCCAACATCCTTGGAACTGATGTTGTCAGACAGTCCATCCTACGCAAGGTCCCAGGTAATAATAAGAACATACAATTAAATTGTCCACTGAAATATTATGTTTTTTGTAAAAATATTTTAATCTTGGTTTTATCTTTCCTGCTACAGAATGCATTAGCATCTTTCTGGATTTTAATAGTAATTTGATATTAGACCTTTCCCCCACTCCTCTTTGTGTGTGGGTTTGTGTGCTTAGTGAATTGCTAGTATCCTAAATAAGAAAATCAAGATATAGGCACAAAATGAATTTTATATATATGTGCCTTCCCTGAAGAGATTACAATTTTACAATCTGAATAGAAGCTTCTAGTCCAAGCAAATGTATTTAATAGCAAACAAAATTCCTAATTCGTGGTATAGGGTCTTGGGTGTATGAAAAGCTCTAGGAGCCCACCATTCACCTTTGTAACTATTTTATTTTACCTTATTTATTCATGTTGGTTGTGGAACTCAAGCTGTAATTCTCGATAGTAGAGTTCTTTACTCCACATGGGGAAAGAAACAAACAAACCAGAAAACGCAGCCTACTAAATTCTAGGCTGTGTTTTCTAGATCACAGGCTGTATCCCAGCTTACTGGAACCTATTCATCCTGAGGCTGCATCTCAACTTTCTTTGACCTATCCACATACAACCTACTTCATGTACACCCTCACACATGAACAAAATTGTCTGCTTGGCTGATGTATCCCAAACAGACTTGTTTCATTCTTCAGAACTGCACATGTGCTTAACCCCTTCTTACCGGCTGTCTTCTCAGTACACTCAATGTTCAGTTTTTATCATATTCAGTGGTTAGGTTGCAGTAACGAAGTATATATAGGAAAAGGGGCAGTCACTGCCACTGTAAAAATATTCACTATGATATTTTACTTGACAAATTGCTGACCTTCCTGATATATAAAATTATCAACTGACATACAACTAAAGTTCCTGTTTTATGGGGTTTAAATTATGCAACATCTCAAGGTGCGTAATTGTTTGTTGCTGTATATTTGGTAGATGTATGTAGAAGAAAAAGGGAAATAATGTGTTAAGCCTTTTCCCCCACATCATCTTCCTAGCTAAAAAAAATCATTGCAGAAATTCTCTCTCTTGTCATAAAGTAATATTTGTAAGCTGAAAAATTGAATTGTATTTTACAGGTTCATCTTCAAATGATCAGCAACAAATTTGGGACATAATTCAATAGAAAATTTGAAAAACAAATATTTCAGTGTTGTTAAAATTTAGGGGTTTTTAGTGGTTTCTTTATTTGAGACTGAGCTGTGGAAAAAATGGGTTTTGGGTTAATCTTAACTTGTTTAAGTCGTTAAAACACAAGCTCAGTTTATGTTGGCTGTGTATTTAGTATACACTATCTAAATTTCTCTACAATAATTATATATTTTTTTCCAACTGAAGATACAGTTCCCATTAAGGATGAAGGAGGAATGTCTAGAGGTCAAGCGGAAGAGAACATGCAGAATGGGCCTGATATATCAGCTTCTTCAACGAGTGCAGGGAAATCACTCTTCAGTGGACCCAGAAAGATAGGGTAAAGCCTTGACTTTGGAAACTGATAAATGAGAGTACAGCTGCCTCTCATCAGAAGGATTTCTTTTACATCTCTCTAGCCACTCTTTTAACCACTCTTCAACTTTCCATATCTGACCAGAACCTCTTCAACCACTCTTCAACTTTCCATATCTGACCGCAACCTCCTAGGGTTGGAAAAAATCTGCTTGCAAGTACTTGCTATAATTAAACTCCTAGGAAATGCAGTAGTAATTAGATTTTTGGTAAACAAAAGCAGCAAAAAGGAAACTTAACTATTGAATGTTCCTGGTGAGGGAGTACCACATTCAGTGTGTCAGTAAAATTATCATTTTGAGGATTTGTTTGTGCTTTCTCTCAAGGGCTTCTATGCAAAATTTGTTCAGTTTACAGGTTAAAATTATTTCTCTTTATTCCCAACTTCTAACTCTATAAATTCACTTTGAGATCAGAAAATGTATTCTTTTCTTTACTCATGGTCTTCACTAGTAAAATTATGGTATGCACATTATGGCTTCAGTGGCATCTGTACACGCTTCCATGAGGCTATCCCCTCAGTAACGTGTAAGGCACTGGGGATTCACAGGTGTTACTGGACCTAAATTGAAGATGATGCATGAGAAGAAAAGAACCCAGATTAGCCTTCATACCCTGGAGCCGAGTTAACTAGGTTGGCAGTTAGAAAAACAGGATTTTTTTCAACTTTTCAAATTGTTTTTTGGTAACCCAAAAATAATATTAATGTGTAATACAGACCCCTACAGAGATCCTTTGGAGGAAAACAACTCCCTTAAGAATCTGGGAGTTACCAGTGACTGTGAAGCTACCCACATGTATGTTCGGCATATAGACTAGATAAGTTATAAGGACAGTAGGGGTCAAGTGATTAGAGGGAAAAACGCAACTGTTGCTAAGTGTAGTATAGAATGTGTTGAATCAATCACTTAGAAAATTTACATGACCTCCTTTGGCCTGCTTAACATTGAACAAAAGGAGCAACTTTTGCTGCTTCTGAGCTTTCCTGTTAAGATAAAGGTGGTACAGCCTCAGGAATGTTGTAATAACAGTTGAATGTAATTACAGTTCAGGTGAACAATATTAAAAAATTGTCTCTGTAGGTGAGTTGATGCTTGGAGCACTTACTATTCATGTTGTGAACACTCTTCAAAAGTACAAGTACAACTGGAGCTAGATCCAATTAAGGATTTCAGTGACTAAAAATTAGATGTTGCTGTATCCAACATTTAGGTGCCCAGGCCTGAATACTCAGAAATATTTATTTACCTAACTCCTTTTTAGGGAACTAATGCTCATATATTTTACTGAGGTTTTATTTCAAAGGACCTGCAACTGTACCTAACCATACTTGGAATCTTAATATACAGATCATGTCAGATACTTGTGAATGAGATTAGCAATATGCTGTAGCATTCTGGCCAGCAGAATGGTCTGCAAAAACCTAACCAAATCCTTTTTTGAATCCATCTTGGAAATTCAATTATCAGAGTTTCTTCTATAGGAAACTACCAGTAGTTGATTATCATCTTTTTGCCTGTTTCATTTATCTGTTTCCCAGGTGAAATAGTCCTCTCAATGGGAAGATGGAAATGAAATAGCGTGGTGCTGTATTTTCTCACATACCACGCTCCCCCCGAATATAACACACACCTTGGTTTTGGGACACAGTGGGTGCGTCTACCTGAGATGTTTACTGTAGACTTATTAGCTCTGTAATAAACATCTTGCATGGACACGTGCACCCCTATTAGGCCATAGGAAACTAATTAACTCCACAGCAGGGTAGTGCTCGAAAATAAAAGTACTATCCTGCTGTGGAGTTTTTTACTCTGTAGCACTGTGTATATAGACACTGACACGGGTGGCTGGGGCATGTGGGTGATTCAGTGCAGGGGCTGCCTGCTGACTAGCCTTACACTGGAGCACCCTCATGCCCCAGCGAGCCACTCCGCACCACATTGAGCCAGGTTGGAGCAGCCTAGGCCCGGCAGGCTGACTTGCCAGGTCCTGTGCCACTTGGGGCTACTGTGACCCAGCTCAGCATGATGTGGTCCTAGGAACACATGCAAATGCATCACCTGAGAGCAATAAACTCCAGCCCAATTTATTGCTTCACCTTAATAGCACATGTAGGCACCACCCAGAATGTAGAAGAAAAGATTTTTGCAGTCTTGTCCTGGAGCTGGATTTTTCATGGAGGGTCAAGCTTCTTTCTGGGACAGGAAGCAGGAAAGATAAACTTTAGAATTAACCCTTGCATAGCAGTTTTCAAATTGAAAAGTCTGGCTACCTATTTGGCTGCTCAGCCAAAAAACTGTTGCCAATTTGGGAATGTGTGTGAAAGGGTTAACACTGGACTTCACTTCTACTTGCTGCCTGAGGGAGAAGCCCATAGCTATCTTGTAACATTGCCTCTTAATACTTCTATTGCAGGAAGAAAAACAATTAGCTTCCCCCCTTAAGACACATCAATTGTAGCCAGGAGATTTTTTGGGGAAAGGCATGTATTACATGCAAAAAAAATATGGTGTATAAGAGTGTGATTCACTGTGGTTGAGTGGGCTGGTTGTTCAGTGGTGTTTGCTTCAGAAAGAGATAGATTTGTGTCATTAAAAAGGCCCAAAGTCAGGCTGATCATTATACCTCTAGCCATGAGGTATCCAGGTAGTTAAAATGAAGAAAACGTATATTTACAATGCAATGCTCTGTCTTAGGAGCAGCTTGAAAGAAAGAAACAAGAAGTAGCTTTAACAGTAACCTCTTTGAAAACCGAGGAGGGGTTGAGCAGTTGAGCTGCTCTTGTGGAAAAAAAAAACCAACTGAAGCACCTGAACTTTTAATCAGAGGTGCATCAGTGAAAGCCCTAAAATGAGAATATCTACGGGGGGGGGGGGGGGGAGGCAGAAGAGAAAAATGAGGAATATCATCGTGTCATTTTGGGTCCCTCTGTACTTTGGAATATTTCTGTCCCTGAATATGGGAGATTGCTCTGCTCTTGTTGTTATTAAGATGAAAGCTCTTACTACAATTACCACATGAAAGAATTTACTCAGGTTTTTTTCAAGAGCCATGAGAACAATTCGACTGATTAGAGCAAAACAGCTAATAGAGTCTGAATAGTCTACATCAGCAAATTACCCAGCATGTCTTTTTCTTCTATGCTTCTATGTCTGGCAAGGCCGTAGCTTGAAAATTACTTATATACGCAAATGCATATACAACATGCACTTGTTAATAGTGTGGTTTCATAGTTAGTAGGGTCGGAAGGGACCTGAGCAGATCATCAAGTCCGACTCCCTGCCGTGGCAGGAAAGAGTACTGGGGTCAAACAACCCCAGCAAGGTGATTGTCAAGCCTTGTCTTAAAGACCCCCAGGGTAGGAGCCAGCACCACTTCGCTTGGAAGTTGGTTCCAGATCCTAGCTACCCTGACAGTGAAGTAGTGCCTCCTGATGTCTAATCTGAATTTACCCTCTGCCAGCTTGTGACAGTTATTTCTAGTCACTCCTGGTAGTGCTTGGGGGAACAGGGACTCCCCCAGTGCCTGCTGGTCCCCTCTGACTAGTTTGTAACAGGCCACTAGATCCCCCCTCAACCTTCTCTTGTGGAGGCTGAACAGGTTCAGGTCCCGTAGCCTCTCCTCGTAGGGCCTGCCCTGCTGCCCCCTGATCATGCGAGTGGCCCTCCTCTGGACCCTCTCCATGTTGTCCACATCCCTCTTGAAGTGCGGCGCCCAGAACTGGACGCAGTACTCCAACTGCGGCCTGACCAGTGCCGCATAGAGGGGGAGGATCACCTCCTTGGACCTGCTCGAGATGCATCTGTGGATGCATGACAAGGTGCGGTTGGCCTTCCTGACTGCATCCCCACACTGCCGGCCCATGTTCATCTTGGCATCAATGATGACTCCAAGATCCTTTTCTGCCTCTGCACTGACGAGAAGGGAGTTCCCCAGCCTGTAGGTATGGTGCTGGTTCTTCCTCCCCAGGTGCAGCACCTTGCACTTGTCAGTGTTGAAACCCATCCTGTTCTCATCCGCCCACCCCTGTAACCTGTCCAGGTCCGATTGTAGCCTATTCCTCCCTTCTAGCATGCCCACATCCCCCCACATCTTAGTGTCATCAGCAAATTTGAACAGGGTGCTTTTTACCCCCTCGTCCAAGTCACTGATGAAGATGTTGAACAGTGCGGGCCTGAGGACCGAGCCCTGGGGGACCCCACTGCCCACATCCCTCCAGGTCGAAAATGACCAGTTCACCACCACTCTCTGGGTATGACCCTCCAGCCAGTCAAGTCGCCCATTTGACTGTGTAGGTGTCGACACTACAGTCCCCTAGTTTTTTAATGAGAATGGGGTGAGAGACAGTGTTGAAGGCCTTCCTAAAGTCCAGAAAGACTATGTCCACTGCTACCCCTGCGTCCAAGGATTTTGTGACCTGGTCATAGAAGGCCACCAGGTTGGTCTGACAGGACCTGCCTCTAATGAACCCATGTTGGTTGCCCCTAAGCATGATCTCCCCCACTGGCCCCTCACAGACATGCGCCAGGATAATTCTCTCAAAAAGGTTACCCAGGATCGAGGTAAGACTAACTGGCCTATAGTTTCCCGGATCCTCCTTCCTCCCTTTTTTGAAAATGGGAACCACGTTAGCTCTCTTCCAGTCCTCTGTTACCACACCAGAGCACCATGAGTGCTCATTAATGTTATTTGTTGTGATTTATTGGTTTATGGTTCAGGCAGGAAGTATTTACACCCAATGAGCTGATGAACAGTTGACCCTGCCCTGCCTCCAACTTTGTCCACATTACACAACAGCAGGAGCAATGTTGCCAAGATCATGCAGGAGTAATGTCTTTGCCAGTCTTTACTCCTCCTCTGTCTACTGGAGGCAGCTAGAAGCTATCTGTGAAGTATTAGGCCCTAGTAGATTCAATAGTTGTCCCTGTGACTGATTCAACAGGGTAGTTTGGCACCCTCAGAACCAGTGTTTTTGTTCTCTATCTCAAAGTAGCAACAGTAGCTAAATGTTCCTCTGAGCCCTGCTTCACTTCCAAATTAAAGCTGGATAGAAACCAGCTATAAAGTTGTTATACCTTTTCAAGCACTGGTGTTGTAGCAGGAAGGCTTTTTAGAGCTGAACAGTCATTTTTATGATGTAATAATTACTCTGCACATGTGACTGGTGTAAATTTCTTATGCAATTAACCAGTTAATTGTGAGATAATTTCTTTGTATTTGTGGCTGGTCTTATTTTTCATGTGTGGCTGGTCTAAATATATTGCATGATTAACCAGTAATGTACGTAACATGTAGCAGGGGCCTCTGTTTCGCATTTCCATCCTGTTTTGTTATCCTCTGTTAAATAGGAGGGTCCTCAGGGCAGTAACCAAAGGAGAAATTGCAATTGGGAAATCTGACAATGGAAGAAACATCAATTCAGCAGGTGAAACCCAAAGTCTGCATAATGACAAGCCTGCTCCTTATTCAGACAGGTAAGGAACAGAACAATCTGATGATAATTCACTAACAGCTTGAGCCTTCAGTTTCTTCACAGTCTTGTGAACTACTCTGCACCCTTCTTGAGTCCTGAGTGTCAGGACTGGCTGACAAACAGGATTTTTTCTCATGGAAATAGTGTCCTCTTTTTGTTCAAAAACAATTTGTGATCAGCAGGTTTCCTGGTTTTCTCTGTTTAAAAAAATCCCCAATTTTTTAATTTACCACCTCCCATCCATATTTTTCCATGAATAAAATTAAACAGAACATATGTATATGCATAGTAGTGTTTCATTCTGATCGTGGAAAAATGTGGATTTGGATTAGTTTTTTTTAACCCAAAAATTGGGGATTTTTTTATCAGAGAGAACCAGGATCCCTGGTGGTCAGCTACACTCAGCAGCTTTCCGAACTGAGTCCTTAATACACAAATGTGAAGTTACTTGACAGTAATTCAGTTTGTAAAATGTTTTACACCCTCCATGTCTTTTCATGATGATAATTCTGATAATTTTTAATGCAATTCTTTGCGTAGTTTTTCCTGGAGTAATGACTAGTGGAGTGCGAAGCAGACCCTATTTGATTTAGATTCTGCCTGAATTGGGGACAGTGATTCAGTTTGTTGATTCGGATCACTGACCCTGATTCGATTCAGCTGAATCTGAATCTGAAGATTCAATGCTAATTCGGAGAATCAGTGATTCAGACATAGACACAGGTTTAAATGTTTTTTCTACATACCTTGAGGTACCAGTGCGGCTTGTGATTGCTGTGATGCTGGGGTGCATGGAGCATCCCACAGGAGTGTTGGGGGGCCCTGCGTGCTCAGTGGCGAACCCAGAAGCGGACCAGAAGTACTTCCGGCCCACTTCCGGGAGCATGCTAGGGGCCCCCCCTGTTTGGTGATCGGCCACAGGGGGACCCTGGGTGTCCTCCCAGGCCCAGGAGGCACCATTTGCCGAGCCAGGGGAGCAGAGGGGGGTTCCCCTGAGCTCTCTGGCAGACCCAGAAGTGGACAGGAAGTGCTTCTGGTTCACTGCTGGATGTGCCGTCAAGCATGCTGGGGAGCCCCCTACACTTCTGTGGGATACTCCATGCACCCCAGCATCGCAGTGTTCATGAGCTGCCTGCTACCTAGAGGTGTGTAGAAAAAACATGTAAAGCTGTCTCTGTCTGAATCTTTCCGAATCTCTCTGAATCGATTTGGAGGGTTCTGATTCAATTCACAGAGATTAAAAGGTCCTCTGATTCGATTCAGGTTCGGAGATTTGGCCATTGAATTGGGCCGCATCTCCGCCGAATTGAATCGGGGACCAAAGCTTTGCACTGCCCTAGTAATAATCCTGTATTGCTATTTATAAACAATACTTTGGGGGGTATGTAACGATCAGAATTTAGGTAATTGATATATACTACCTCTCTTACTCAGTTTGAGTAAGAGAAGGCTGAGAGGTCACCTGATAGCTGCCTACAAGTACATCAAGGGTGAACACCAAGACTTAGGTGAGCATCTCTTCAAGAAGGCACCCCAAGGGAGGATGAGGACCAATGGACATAAGCTTATAGAGGGTTAATTCAGGCTAGATGTAAGGAAGAACTTCTTCTCTGTAAGGGTTGCCAGAATCTGGAACGCACTCCCAGCAGAGGTGGTACAGGTACTGTCCTTGGAGAAGTTCAAGAGGAGGCTGGACAGGCACCTTGTTGAGCTTGTCTGAACCCAATAACTTCCTGCATGTGGCAGGGGACTGAACTTGATGATCTTACAGATCCCTTCCAGTTCTACAATTCTGTGATTTTAACTTTCTCTTCCTTTTTATCTGATAATTTATTTTGTACATAGACCAGTTTGCTTTGCTCAGTGCTCATTGTTTCATCTGCCTGGAAATTTTACAGTCCGGATTGAAATATAGTCTATCTTCATTCTGTCTGTAAACAGAAAGTTCTAATATTAAATAGCAATATCCTTGTTTTGAAACAGATGTACAACAAGGACACACCTAAATGGTAATTTTTCCTTATTTTCTGGAGGTGAAAATGGTATGTCAATGGAGTTGAAACTATGAATTTTGATAGAACTAGCTGTTTGTTTTGATGCCTAAAATGCGAGTTAAAATCTTTTAAAAAGCTGATCCTGGATGATTGGAAAGAAAATGAAATACTTGTATGCATTCAAGAACAAAGATAACATTCAAAAATAAAACTTCCAAGCTATTAATATTAACATGGGTTTGAATATTTATTGCTATGGTAGCATTACAACTGAAAGGTCTTGGTTGAAAAGAATCTAGTGTTGATTAATGAATTACACGTGAATCTTGTAATTGAAATCTGAAACCTATTTCCTTCCTTGCTTCTGAATTATTTTAGGCAATATTTATTAATTGTTCTGCAAGACATATGAGGTTGATACACAGTCTCCCTGAAGATTCAGAACCTGCTTTTATTCAGTCTGAACAGTATGCTGCACAGATCTATCTCACTAGCCAGACAAACACTAAAGCTGATTCTTATCCAGAAACACAGTTCCATGGTTTCCTTTGGGTAATTGGACCTTTTGTACACAGCAGTGATTCATGCCTCAGTGTTTTATTAGAACAGAATGTATATTTTTGTTCTTTCCTTTTTATTTTTTATCAGTACTTTTTCTGCTAAATTGGGCATGACAGAAAGCTTTGCATTCAAGACTGGGACTATCTTGCTGCTTAGCACAGGTTCTATGTGTAGTCTCTGAAGGTTGAGCAAGAAGTAGACTGCAATGGGGTTTTTTTCTTTAGTTTGTTTTTTGACAGACAAAATAGTCTTTATATTGGTGTTCAAGGAGTCCTGTGATGAACATCCTGAAAAAGTTCAAAGAGATGGGTAGGGTGAACTTATTTGTAAATATCTGAACCTTCAAAAAGACTTTATCTGGAAATATCTACCTTTGCCCATCACTACAGCCTCACCCTGCCAAGTTAATAGTCTGTGTCAATAGAGATATTCAAAGCACATGTTGACATATCTGTGTGTTCAGGATGGATGAATCATCTTACAACCTGCAGAAACTGAACTTATAAGGCTATGCTCTGTGGAATAGCTAGTAAGCAGAGCTTGCTGTTTTCAGGATGGGATTTTATTCATACCTTTTTAAGTTAAAAAGCACCAATGCGCAAACATGAGATACTGTGATATATCTACAGTCTACATTAATTTAATGAGGTAAATAGTAATTATTAAAAACAAGATAAAAGATCACTTAATCTTCCTTTACATCTCTTTGGATTTGAAACAACTCAGAAAAACATCTTGAGACATCAAGGGTCTTGAATTTTTCTGTATATTCCTTAGTTAGGGTAATTTGGGCTTTGCTTTCAGCATAAGTCTGTAATCCACAAAGTAAATAGGAAAGTGAGAGGAAGGTGGCGTGGAGAGGGAGGACACATGCACTACTTATTCTTTCCAAACATCTTTGGTTTGGGGGAAGTTACATTGGGCTTAGAAGCGAAAAGTCATGAGCTTGTCATCCATTGATTTGTCCCCATCTCCAGCTAACAAATAGGAGGTTGCAAGAGAACATGTCCAGCAAAAATAGCAAAAGGCATTCTTCCCCAAGAGCTCTGGAGGTGTGGTGTAGATGGGTCCAGAGACAGGTGACAATGATGATCAAGGGCTTGGAAGGCAAGTCATACAAAGAGAGGGTGAAGGATGCATGTTCAGCTTGCAGAAAAGGTGCTTAGGAGGGGACATGATAGCAGTCTTCAAATACTTGAAGGGTTACTATAAAGAAGAGGGAGAACACCTTTTCTGTCTTGCTGAAGAGAGTAGGATGTAGGCCAATGGCTTGAAGTTGCAGCAAAGTAGGTTTAGATTGGATATCTGGAAAGCTTCTTCACAGTTAGAATAGACTGCCGAGGGCAGCTGTGGACTTTCCATCACTTTTCCATATATGTCAGGGTTTTTTATTTTGTTTTGTTTTTTTAAAACCTTCCTCAGAGTCATTGGACGCTGGCTACAGCCAAGTCTGGAGATTTTGACTGGGGTGTGCCAGTGCTCCTGCTTGGACTTAAAGCCAGAGGCTCCTGGCTAGAGGGTCTTGCCCTACTGTTCAGGGTCAGACTGATTGCTATATTTGGGGTCAGGGAGGAACTTTATCCCATGATCAGATTGGTGTGGACAGTGAGTGGACATGGCCCCTTCATCTGTAATTGGGGCCATGTCCCTCCACCTGGGATCTCTTGAGCATATGTTAACAACCCTTTACACAAGCAGGATTTTGGCTGTGGTTGTCCTCCTACTTGGCCTGTGGAAGGTCAACATTTTATGTCATGTCAGGGTTGACAGTAGTTTTAATACGAGATTACATGATGGATTTGTATAAAATGGTTTGGATAGGGATGATCCTGCCTCAGGCTGAGGGTTGGACTAGATGACCTGTGAAGGTCCCTTCCAGTCCTGCTGCTGTATGATTCTATGATTCCGAGTGTTTTGCTATTGTCTACTAAATAAACCAGCAAACCGGTGGCAAAATGGGCAGTCTCCCCCCTGAAACTTGACCCACGTAAGGGTAAAGGAGAAAATAGCCTCATGTGGCAGATGTCTGTGTTGTAGATTTGTACGTTCTGAATCAAAATCCATCTGATGATCCATGTTGGGGTTCATGTACCTGCACATTTTCCATGTTTACCTACTTTTCTTTTTAAACAACTTTTTTTGGGTAACTCAGTGAGAACATCCTTAATCACAGGTTTTGTAATTAAGTCATTACCATTTTTCATTTATGATAAAATGCCAGTTACAAAAAGTGATCTTAGTTTTCTCCCTTAACTGCAGCGAATCTTTATAGAAGTACATGGGGCAGAACGAGACAAAAAGATTGTGCTTTGACATTATTTCTTTTCATAGCAGACACATAAAGAAATTGAAGGTGTCTCTGGCTCCGGGATTCTTCAAGGCTATAAGACAGGGGTGGGCAAAATAAGGCCCGCAGGCCAGATTGAGCCTGCCAGCTGATTGTATCTGGCCCCTGGGTGGGCAGTCACAGAGACCGCAAAGGCATAGGATCTAGCCCCCAGGGAGCCAGTGGCTCTGGGTCATGCCGGGCATGTCCCAGCCCCTTCCACAGCTTACACAAGCTCCTGCCCTGTGCACCAGCAGCGCTAAGTGGGTACTGGCATCAGCTGCAGACATGGCTGGCAGATTCCAAGTGGGAATTGGGGCATCCACCTGGGTCCATAGCTGATGCTGCTGCATCAGTGTATCAACTGTGGTCCCAGGCAGTCACCCTCACCCACACTGGGAACTTGCTGGTAGTGTCCATAACATCCACAGATGATGCTGGGGCCCACCCAGCACTGCTTTCAGCACGCAAGCAGGTGAAAGCTGTGGATAGGACTGGGACATTGTGGAACAGGGTGTGCTGTAGCTGCAGGGATGGTTTGGGTGGGGAGAGGAAAGGGAGAGAAATGTGGCCCGTGAGAGAATGCAAAACTCATTAAGTGGCCCTCCAGCTAAAATGGTTGCCCACCTCTGCTACAGAACATAGAGGCTATCAGAGGTAGATCCAAGGAGGGGTGAAGTGGTGCGGTTGAACCCCCCTCTGATTCCTGCTCCCCCGCCTTTAAAACTAAATGTTTGAGAGGGGCAGCCACGTGTTTATTCAAGCTGAGACAGACAATCAGATTTATGACTCATTGTCATCTCCTTGATTCTTGTTAATCTTTCTGTACTCCACAAGTGTTAACAACCTTCTATCCTTTTTAATGCTCTTGATGCTCCACTATTCAAGCTATCCTTTCTTCTGAAATTGTGCTGTCTGTTAGCCATTCCTGGTAATGTCTTTCTTCTATTTCACAGCCCTGCAGACTGTTTTTAGCACTAGCTAAAAGCCTTAACTCATGGGTGATAATATTAACTCAGGTGTAGAAATTGTTTCATGTGACCCTGTATGGGTAATCAATGAACAGCTCCCTGCTTAATATAAACCGTATCTTTATTATAACAGTTTCTTACAGAGCTGTTACAGGGCCTAGTGTTCTCCCCCAGCTTCTCTAACTCTCTTGTTTTTCCTGTCTCCTCCCCCTCACTTCGTGTTACTTCTTTGGACTCCTCCTTTCTGCTGCTGCTGGTTTTGCCTCTGAGATCCATACATATTGTTACAGAAATGAATGACAGAGAAATATTGGTGGCATTATCAAGGCACTCAAGAAAGCTAGATTTTGTCTTAAGAATCTGTCTGAGAGACATGCATATAACTATAATGGCCACAGGACTAATGACACAATGACTTCTGACTATTTTGACTCTTCATTGTGTTTATTTTATTCTATCAAATAGTTGTATAGTTATATTTTTTTTGCTTTGATCTTAAATGGAGTGATATGATGCTAGCCCTCTTAGCATAATATTAAAGCATCTAGTTTCTCTTTAACTGAAGAAAAATATGTGTTGTGTTAAACATGATCATATGCCACACCATCTACATCCCCTTTTCAAAATCCTGGATCCATCCACGGAGCCCATGTATAGCTTTTGCCAGAATATACCATTTTCTTTGTAGTGGGAGAATATTTATGTGTTACATTTATGAGAAGAGAGAGAGATTTTTAGTCACCCAAGTACAGGACTGGATCTAGGATTTTGAAAAGAGGGTTGCAGCAGAAAGTTCAGTAGTCCATGCACTACATACTTGAGGGGGGGGGGGTAAAAACCGGTGGCAGAGAGCTGCTTTCTCATGCATCAAGACCAAAGCTACATTGTTAAGGAAGTTGTGATAGCACCATTGTGTTCCACTCCACCCCTAGATTTATCCCTACCCACATACTTTTTCTCCCCAAATAGAATACGTTCAATCTGAATAAAACACTGAAGTAGAGTCTATTGTAACAGAATTTGCTAGAGGGATATAAGCTGTCATGCTCAAGAATTTTATTTGCTAGTTCAAGAGTAGTTCTGTTAGGAGTCTCTACTGTGATAAAGGAGTTGTTCAGTGCAGTTACTCTGTCTGTGATATGATAGTGCTGGTTTTGAATCATGAGCATTTTTTCATGAGAAAAGTTCCATCCAAGAAATCCCAACTGGCTCTTTTGCTAAGTGACATGCATATTCTGTGTTTTGAACCCCATTTCTTTTTGACAGTTTATTGACCATCAGATACACTGCCAAAACACAGTATGATTGCACTGGTCATTTAGGTCATAGAGAAATTATCAGCCAGTTTGGGGTCTGCAGCTATTAGTCAAAAGCGAAATGATAGATTATTCTCCCTCCTGAGAGAGAACAGCCAGAAAGCTTGTGAGCAACTTAGCTATGCAGAGCTAGCCGTCTCCTCTGGAGTGTTTGTTGGCACTAGATGAGTCTGAGAAAGCCAGAACCATGGTTATTTTCCTGATAAACTGAGGAGTAAAATGATGGCAAATGTCAACTCTGGGACCACTGCATCAGATATCTGTTTCATTACCTCTTACCCACATGCAGGAAAACAATCTCATGGGTTTATATTAATGCTCTTCCCCCACAAAATGCTTCAAATATTAACAGTTTGAAGATTCATGCTTAAAACAATGTAAACAAACAATATTCCTAAATAGTTCTCACTAATTCTTACCTTTCATGCCCCCAGATCCCTAGAGTGCGCCATGTATTATTCATATGGTACGTTATACTCTCTCTTCCTCAGGGGGAGCACTCATTCACTGGGCAGTAATGATGCGGAGATCATACCAGGTAACTTGAAAGGCACAGTGGTTCCAGCAAACCGGAGTAATGTGTCCACTCCAGTTCATCAGAGATCACCAGCACCCAGCACGCGTGGCATGACTCCAGATTACAGCAAGGTGAATGTAGCGATCCTACTTGACTGTACATGTCTCCCCTTCACACATCACTGACACCATAATCAACCAGGTTTTTGTCACTAGTTGCCTTATCAGAGCAGTTTGCAGCTGAAAAACATCAAACCTTCTAATGATAATTGTTTAATCCTTAATCCCATTGTGATATAAAATCTCCCATTTTAATAGGACATACCAGATCCTAGTACAGTATATCAGCTAGACATATATAACAGTATAGTTAAAGGAATATAATCCTCTAATGTGGATGTTGGTATCTTTGTAGTTACTGTACAAGAAAGGGAAAATGTATACATGGTACCTGCCTACAAGTATAACTGTAGAGATTTTATATTGGTAAAAGCCACACCCCAACTGAAATAGAGACACTAGTATGAAAACTACATGTGGACCAGGCCTGTTTAAAATTAGGGAAGGTTATAAATGTGCATCACTTGTCTTCACTTGCAGAATCATCTTTATGCAGTAAAGCAGGTGTGCTCTAACTCTAGCCCATGAGCCAAATATGGCCCACAGAGCCATGGCATCCAACCCAGGGGGCTCTCCACACATTGGGAAATTTGGCAGTGGTGGAATAGTGGCAATTAATACAGCCACCTCTCCATGCTGCCAGATACCTAAGCTTGTGCGGTAGATTGGAGCCAGGCTATGCCTCCTCTCCTCGCAGGGCTGGATAAAGGCCAGGCCACATTCCCCTTGTCCCCCACATAGCCAAATCAGGGCTGGGCCACACCCCCTTCCCCTGCATGGCTGAATTAGGGTTGAATCAAGCCTTCTGTCCCCCTGTGGGGCCAGGCTAGGCCCCCTTCTAACCCATGGCTGGATCAGGGCTGGGCTGCCCCTTGCCCCCTCTGTACAGCTGGATGGGGCCCCACTGCACCCGCTCTGGGTGCCAGATCGAGACCACCAGCTGGATCCAGCCCACAGATGGCCAGCACTGGCCATCTGGCTCATCAAGCAAAAAGTTTGAGCACCACTGCAATAAAGCACAATGGATCCATGATTCCAAGTACAAGTATTATTCTGATATTACCAATATTAAATAACTGACTAACATACTAGCAGAATCCTTTCCATTTACACAAATTAAATTAAAATGGTACAGCCTGAGACTTCCATTTATACTATTTATGGAATATGTATTCTTCTTTTTGAGCAGGAAGCTGATTTAGGAAATGGCACTTCTATGTCAGGAAGTGAAAGTATACCTGAAAACTTAGTGAAGAGGCATTGCAGAAAGACATCTGGAACACCTTCAATAGCAGTTTCTAGGGTTTCTCTCTCATCAGGTAAGTGTTTCCTAGTACTCTGTTCTTCCTCTGAAATACTTCTTCTGCCCTCTGCTCCACTCTTTCTACCTGGGTTTTCTTTTTACAGTACATAGTAGATAATCAGATACAAATGTAGTTAAATTTTTTGTTAATTCTGAAAGTACCAGGCTTGTAAAATGAAAAAGAATACTTTTACTTCTTTTTGCATTGGAAAAAGGGTCTTTCTAACTCCATGTAGCATCACAACCATTCTAGCAAATGATTCATTCTAAGAAAAAAATCAGTGGAAGATGATGTGCTCAGTGGCATTTTCTGAAGGTATGGTCACATGTACATTTGGAGCCATTTCAAAGGAGGAACATTTTAAACGGGCAACAGCTGTTACACTCTATTTGTTACCTGTGGACAAGCTAGGAACCATGTAAATGTAGCAAAACTACTCCAACTTTAATTCTAGAGGAAGCAGTGTTAAAATTGGAGCAGTTTTAATACATTTGTGTCATTCCTGACTTGTCCATACACAACAATTATAATGTAACACCTGCTTCCCTTTTGAAATATCTCGAAATGTACGTGCATCCATACCCTCAGTCAAAAGCGTCATAAACCTGACACTTTGTGGTCATTTGCACCTTAATAAAATGCTAGCATTTTGATTTTGATTATGTTTTATACCCACTTATATGGGACCAAATGACCCCAACAGTATGAGCCTCTTGGTTGGTTTTTGATGCCGCATAACTGACAGAATGACAGATCTACTGGTTGGGGGGTGAGGGGGGCAGGTTGTAGGAAGCCAGTAGGGAGATAATATATATGTAACAAACTGTGCTCAGAACCATTTTCCAATACCTACTGATCCAATCACCCTATTTTTTATTGAAACTGAAAAGTCAAGAATCCCTGGATCTTTTCACTCTTCTTCGTCACTCAGTCATCCTCAAAACCAGCCCTGTTCAGCCTTTCAGATTTACAAGCTAGTCTGGTTCACAGCAGGCCTCAGTCACTCTGTTTCAGCTGGGGTTAGCCTTTACCAGAAACCTGGTAGCATATCCCACAGAGCTAATCAAAGACACTATGTTCTTCACCTTAGATTTTTCTGCTTGAAAGCATCCATGTGTCTTTGAACAGACAGATTACAGTTGTAGAAAGAGGTCTTTTTTACTGCTGTTTTCTTTGTTTATGGAGGGATTTTCTCTTTCTTGTTATTTCTGAAAATAAAGATTGGGCATTAATATTTAGCTTCATGTTCCTAAAGCAGATAGGAAAGTGAAGAAACATTTAGGCAGTCTGACAATGGGGGAAGGCATCTACAAAGGACAGTGGATCCAGCAGATTTTTTTCTTTCTGGGGGAACTTGAAAGGGGTGACTAGGGACATCCTTCTCTTAAGCCAGCTGTAGCTACAGTTCAGGGGGTGGGGGAGGACTAACTTCCCATGTCTTATCCTGCTAAAGAGGCTGCCTTTTTCCCACCACATAGGGAAGGAAGCCGCATCATCTGTAACAATTCTTTTGGGGAGAGCTAAGGGAATTGCTTCACCAAAGCATTTGGTATTCTTATATTGTTGGGCTTAAGCTGGTATGTCAGGGTGCAGAGAGACATGCCTGGGACCCATGTCCATTCACCACACATAAGAAACAACAGTAGCAGACACAGTATCTTTATTATTCATTCAGCCCTGAAACCTGAACTTATTTGTGGATGTGAAGTGAAGGGTTACAAGAGTCCCCCTAAACATTTAGGCCTAACTAACTCTAGACCTGCTGTCTACATCCTGGATACTGTGACGGTCCAAGCAGGAGACCCTGCCTCAAAGTCAAAAGCTAGGTGGAGAGTGACCATATGACACTTACATTGTAGAGGTGCACCGATACATTGGTCCAATATCGGATTGGTACTGATATAAAGAAAATTGGCTGTAATGGAAATTGACCTGATGCGGCTGATAGTTTGGCCGATAAATGCTCATGTGTGCATGCAGCTGCAGCGCAGCACGCAGGCAGCAAGGAGTAGAGCCTGGCAGCTTGGAGAGCTGCATGCAGCTGATAAGTCTAGTGTGGTGGAAGGGGAGAGGGGGAGGGAAGGGGCGTAGGGTTGGGGGTGTAGATCAGCGCCCCCTGCAGTGAGGGAGGGGGCAGGGGCAGGCACTGTCCAGGCAGGGTGAGGTGCGGGACAGAGCTGTGGCTCGTCGGTGGGAGGGGGCAGCTCCCGCTGCTGTTTGCACCCCAGGAGGGCATTGGGAGGGTAGGGAGGGCAGCTTGTGCTTCCAGATCTGTATGGGGTGGGGCAGGTGAGCTGCAGCTGTGGGCTGGAGCCGGG